GTACTGAAGTCAAATCAATTTCAGCTCAAAGCAAATCTAAAGGATAGAGTAGAACCATCCACAATATTTCCAAGGCTGGAAATCTTCGCGGAAGCAGACTTAGATCTTCCCATTGCAGCACGGCTGATGGGTTAGGACCACTGATTTTTCACTTAGCAGCTGTACACTAGGGTGCCTTTCATGCTGTGCAACCCTTAAAATGCCCTTGTCTATGGGAAGCCAAATTTTATATTAAATATTTGTAAAAAACAGAATACTACTTCAGGTTTTGAGGGAGGCTGAAATTAGCTGGAATTAATCCTGAAGCACTAAGACAATAATCCTTAAGCGTTTACTGGATTTTTGCATTGACCCTCCCTCCTGAGTCAAGCAGAAGGTTTTCAAGAGAAAGCTTAGCATCACCTGTATTGGATTCTCTTTGTGATTTACTTCCTGCCAATTTTCAATAAAAGACAGGAAAGCTGGAATTGGCGGCAGTTCCCTTCAGTTGCTTGAGAAGTGTTTGCCTCCTGCTTTACCTCCGTTTTCCTCCTACATTCTTGGTGCTCTGTCTCATTATTAATACTTACAAAAGACTTTGCCCTTGGCCTGCAACACTTGTCGGGGGGCTTGTGGAACTTGTTCCCCAGTCTGGACCTCAGCTTCACTGTCTATGAAACCAGGAGATGGCCCCCTGACATCTGAAGCAGAGCTTTCTGTTGCTGGCATCTGAAGACTATCAACACACCCATTCATTCAATCAAGGGATATTTACTGAGCAAGTTTAACAGCGAGTAGGAGGCCAGATGTCTGTGCACAACAGGCTTTCTGTCTTGTAGAGGAGTCACCTATTAAACATGTATGAAAAATTACGGCTTATGGTAAGCTCTATGGAGCAAAACCAGGAAGTCTGTGAAGTCAATTAATGGGAACAATCTATTTGTGATCTGGTAGTCCCAGGAAGCCTTCTCTGATGAGGTGGTGTTTGATGGAAACCTAATGAACCAGCCACACTAGGAGGAACTAAGAGCCAGGAAGGATCCCTATGTGCTTTGGAGGAAGGGATGGGGTGGGAGCATCTGAGGTTGAGTCTGGTGATTCAACTGTCCTCTCCTGGGTGAAGGTCATAGAGAAGCACTGATATTTTCCCCTCCAGGAAGCCCTCCCTGACTCCAGCAGTGAAGTCACTCATTTTCTTCTCCAGTTCACTGAATCCTGGAGATGTGTGTACTTCAGAAATAGGTGCCTTTTAGCCTCTGGCTGACTCACTAAATTAAAAACTCTACCAGAACTTCTCCAGTATGATAGTGATTATGTAAGAGGGAGAGATGTAAGCTGGACATCTTTTTATTTTTTTTTTTTGGACATCTTTTAGCATCAGACTTGTCAGGAAGATGCAGAAGGGACCATAGGTTTCCATATTTCAGAGTACGTAGTGACACGTTTGCTTCCCGGGATCCTGCAGCCTTGTTTGGTGACAGGGATGAGGATGGTAGGCTCTGGGAGGGGGTACTTCCCAGAGAAACTTCAAACAAAGATGATACTTATTTGTCCTCAGCAGTGCATGGCTCTGTCAAGAATCTAAGTCATGACAAAAGCAGAATTCAGCCAGATTGACAGATGGAGCCTGGGTGAGGGATACAGAGGACACAAGCAAAGGACCTTGCTCGGTGCTAATGGGAATGCTGGGTGTCTGAGTCCATCAGAGGGACCCCAGAAAAAAGACCTGGCAATCTACTTCTTAAGTACCAGCCATTGCAAATCCTGTGCAAAACAGTATTACTCAGTCAGTTTGAACTGGCTTCATGGCAATTGGTACCTTGTGTTCTGTGGAACGCAAAATTGTCTTGTACATACAAAATTCTTCTCAAAAGCTCTCTCCTCTTCTGACTTTTCTTCCAGCTTCTTTAATTTGAGCTCCTTTTTTTTCACCCCCTTAATTCACCCCTCTTTCTGAGCCCTTCCATTTGGGGAGAAAAATCCTGGAGGCGTGTTTGGGACAGAAGCCTGGAGAGGATGACATGGACTCTGTGATTTCAGGCTCCATGGAGACCACAGAGAGTATATTCCGGAAGGAGAGAGGCCCGCAGCTTCGTGCTGCCTGCCAGAAGGGCGGTCCTGGGTGATCATACTATCTGTGTGAGCTTGGGAGTCTCAGAATCCCAGCCAGGGAGCCTGAAACCTATGGTTCCTCTCCAAAACTTCCTCCTGTAGAATTTGAGCCATCTTCCCACCACAGCCTGCCTGCTTTCCTGTCACTTTCCATCCACTGTGGGGAGGGGCTAGGCTGGAGCTATTGAGCCTTGGGATCTCCCTGGTCAACAATGCATTAGGACAGCTAGGTGCTAGAACCAGCAGACAGGGCTTCCGACAGCGACAGGCGAGGAGGATGAGTGTTTTTTTAAAAAAACATAGCCTAACATTTGGGCTTCTTACTGAGGGGATGGAGTCTGGCCAAAATTCTATAGCCTTTGGTCTTTTCAGTCTTTCATTGAAACACATAGTCTTATACTCAAACACACTGACACACACAAAAGCAGAGATACTCATGTATATACACGATCTGAGACACATAAAGACACCAGGCCTCGCACACAAACTTGACACACCACGCACACATGTACACACATGGTCTCACATTCAAAACTCTCTCTCATAAACACAGACACACTCAACAAACACACGACAGGGAGAGACCCATACTTACACAAACACACACAGTCAAGCTTCCCCAAACACAAACCCACGTCCACTGAAAGACCTGTGGCTTCATACCCACCCCCAACACACGTACACATACAGACCTACAACTGCACACACTCATATAGACAGCATATTTCACACCCACGTCCAGCTATCACAGAGACACAGACAGACAAATCCTCTAATAGACACACAAACACATCCACACACAGACACCCACATTCAGACATCCCCAAACACACAGAAACTTACACACAGGATATGCAGTCTTACACACACACACACACACACACACACACACACACCCCGTGCACATGGACACACTCAGCTGTACACACCCCACATACACTTTGTATCACTGGCCAAACCAACAAATTTTGGGGAGCAGGGCTCCTCTTTTCTTGTTTGAGTGAGGTCTGAAATCTTGTACTTTCCTCTAGAAATTAAGTTTCTCACTGTCCTTTCTCCCCCCTAAAAAAAAATCTTCTGGCCCCATCTTTTCTTGGATCCTGTCCAGACAGTGCTGTGTCTTTAAGGAAGTTGAAGCTGCTAAAAAGTGAGTGAGAGGGAAAGAGGGGGAAAAAAAACCAAAAAACCAAAAAAAATTTGGCATCTTTTCCCCTCAAGTTTCTGGTGTCACTTATGAAACACAGGTCCTTGTTGCTGCAGAGAAGCAGTTGTTTGGCTGGAAGGAAGGAGCGCGCAGGCTGCCCCAGAGCTTCTCCCTGCAGCCTCCAATCAGGGGACAGTCGCAGACACCCTGTCCCTGGCAGGGTGGGCTCAGGCGTGCAAACTAAAGGTGGGCCAGGGACTAGGCCGACCCTTCCTTCTGCATCCTCATCCTCCCTTGGGCAGCCCTCGGCCCTGCAGCCCTCGGCCCTGCAGCCTCTCCTGGGCTCTTTGTTGCTTCCTAGTTCCCTCTGGAGGAGGCTCTTCTTGACCAAAGAAGGCTAGACTGAAGGTAAGCTGAGATCGAAGGGGAGTGTGTGGAAGAGAACTCAAGGGCCAGCGGGAGGAGGGAGAGGCTTGCTGAGAGGGATGGATTACCTTGTAAGCAAGGTACCAACCAACACCAAGCCAAACCAATTGCCTTCTTCAAGTGCCCTCGGATGAACAATGTCCCTGAAGGACAGAGCAGAACTGCCTGCTAGGGTTCCAAGTCTGCATCTTTAAAACAGCAGACTTCCATACCTGAGTTCTGTGGACCTTTAGGTTAGCAGCTGAAATCTTTTAACAACCTAATCCCCAGGTCTCCTTAAAGCAAGGCGTGGAAAATAAAGTCATCCCAAAAGTCCATGTAGTTACCAAGGCTGTAAATCTCAGCGGGAGCAGACTCTACTTCTTTCTTCCTCATAGTAAGTACCTGGTGGATTCGAAGTACCAACCTTTCAGTTAGCAGACTACCTACTGTGCTCCTGATAATCCTGGATCCAGTTGCACTTTGATGTGGTGAAAGCCAGGTGAAATTGTTCAGTGCAGATTAGCGAAATTGTTTACTCTAATTAAACCCTTGAATTCTTGTGCTTACTGGTTAATCCATCACTGTACACTAGGCACTGGGGTGCCCCTCACTCACACAACCCTTTTGGGTTGAGGTGCCTGAAACAAGCAGCCCAGGGGGCCAGGGCTCCTCCTGCACAGGCAGGGCCCCCCGGAAATTCCAGCAGTGCTGAGGGTGAGCAGGCGGACCTAGTCAGCTAAGAGGACCTGGCAGGGGTTTATTTAGGCAGCTGCCTGGCGTCATTTGAACAGAACAGGCTACGGTGTGATTCTGCAGAAAGGGTCTGTGTCTGCTGTGGCCAGAGGAGCGGGAGGGGGCGGGCAGGGCGGGTGGGGGTGGTGTGCACTGCATAAGGGGCCTTGTCCGGGCCAGGGCAGAGCATACCTATGGGGGGCTCTGGAGGCGGGACCTCAGCTAGGATGTGGGGGAGGCAGAAGGGAGGTTCTGTGAAGTGCTAGGGTAGGGAAGTGCTGGGGGTGTGGTAGGAGCGGCTGGAAAACAGATTTCAAGTCATAAAGTCAGCTAAGAACAGGCTGAGGCAGGGCGAGCGCTCTGCTCAGAGAAGAGCTGGGGTCCTCACCGCCTTGCTGTCACGCTGTCTGGCCACGGAATCGGGCAAGTCCCAGTCCTTCTCCGGGCCTCAGTTCTTCCCTCTGTGAAATCTGGGAGTAGTGTACTGCGGGCCTAAGTTGGGTTATATGGGACAGGGCTTCCTGGTTTCCTGGTGGGGAAAGTCTGGGGATCCTGGGAGAGACGAGCCGCTCCCCCGGACCCTCAGGATCACATGGATGGCATGCCCTTCTCCACAGGAGGTACAATGCAGAAGCTGCATCTGCTGTGTTGGGCGGTTCTTCTGGGCCTGGGGCAGGCCTGTCCGGAGCCCTGTGACTGTGGGGAAAAGTATGGCTTCCAGATTGCTGACTGTGCCTACCGAGACCTGGAAGCTGTGCCCACTGGCTTCCCCGCCAATGTGACCACGTTGAGCCTGTCTGCCAACCGTCTTCAGAGCTTACCAGGGGGTGCCTTCGAGGAGGTGCCTCTGCTGCAGTCACTATGGCTGGCGCACAATGAGATTCGCACGGTGGCGGCCGGGGCCCTGTCCTCTCTGGGCCAGCTCAAGAGCCTGGACCTCAGTCACAACCTCATCTCTGACTTTGCCTGGAGCGACTTGCACAACCTCAGTGCCCTGCAATTGCTCAAGATGGACAACAATGAGCTGGCCTTTATTCCCAGAGATGCCTTCCGCAGCCTGAGCGCTCTGCGCTCCCTGCAGCTTAACCACAACTGCCTCCACACGCTGGCCGAGGGCACCTTCACCCCACTCACTGCGCTGTCCCACCTGCAGATCAACGATAACCCCTTTGACTGCACCTGTGGCCTCGTGTGGCTCAAGACGTGGGCCCTGGCCACTGCAGTGTCCATCCCGGAGCAGAACAACATTGCCTGCACTTCCCCGCACGTCCTCAAGGGGACCCCACTGAGCCGACTGCCACCACTGCCGTGCTCGGCACCCTCGGTGCAGCTCACCTACCAGCCCAGCCAGGACGGGGCAGAGCTGCGGCCAGGCTTTGTGCTGGCGCTCCACTGTGATGTGGATGGACAGCCAGCACCCCAACTGCACTGGCACATCCAGACACCTGGGGGCACCGTGGAGATCGCCAGCCCCAATGTGGGCGCAGACGGGCGGGCACCTGCTGGAACTCCGGCAGCCAGTGGCAAGCCCCGCTTCCAGGCCTTCGCCAACGGCAGCCTGCTCATCCCAGACTTTGGTAAGCTGGAGGAGGGCACCTACAGCTGCCTGGCCACCAACGAGCTGGGCAGTGCTGAGAGCTCAGTAAATGTGGCGCTGGCCACTCCAGGTGAGGGTGGTGAGGATGCGCTGGGTCACAGGTTTCACAGCAAAGGGGCCGAAGGCAAGGGCTGCTACACCATTGACAATGAGGTGCAGCCCTCGGGCCCCGAGGACAATGTGGTCATCATCTACCTCAGCCGGGCCGGGAGTCCAGAGGCAGCAGTCGTGGCAAGGGTGGGCCCTGGACAGCAGGTGACCAGCCTGCTCCTTCTGGCCCAAAGCCTCCTCCTCCTTGTCCTTGCCTCCATCTAGCCTCCCCCTGACCCTAGCCTCCCTAACTTCTCCCTTGGCCCTGTCAGTGTTCCTTGTAAGTGCCTGAAGGCCCTGGAGCTGGCATCTCCCGGGGACTGCGAGGAAAATGGCACCTCTTCCTACTTCCGATTTCTAATCTCTTCCAGAACATTCACCAATCCTCATTTCTAGTCTTGCTTAAAGCTAGTGACTAGGATTGACTTAGACCCCATAAGCCGCTGTCTGTGGTGTTAAGTGCTGCTAACAACATTGCCTGGGCTCCTTGTCAGGGCAGCATGCAAATGGTGGTGCCTTCACCCAACTGGATGAACCCTCAGTGGTGGATCCCAGACTGGTAGAGGTCACTGCAGCAGGCAGGGCACAGGACGGAGGGATGGAGGGGGCGGCGTGGTGACCCACTCCAGCTCCTTGGCATCGCTGCTTAGCTCGGAATGGATGGGAGGACCAGGGTGGCCTTCTTCCTTAGCCTTTGACCTGGATACCTGCCCCTTTTCTTTCTAAGCACACATCTGTAGCCTGCATCTCTGAGGAGACCAGCCAGCCTGGGGCAGTTGAGAAATAAACAGCATTTTTAATGCTCCCTGTGTCAGCTTGGAGTTGTATCTGAAGCTAGGAGTCCTCTAGTGGGGATAGGATTGGGGGCTGGAAATCTGGGCAGCTAGCTGTCTCCCCATTCATTGTCCCAAGGCCTGGGACACACAGAAGGAGCTAGGGCTGGGGGCTCCCTCAGGTTTCTACCCCAATTCACAACAAGGCTTTCTTAGCATAAGGGTTAGGGGCTGGGTTTGTGGGGAGCTGAGCCATAGGCATTCCCTTCCCTTACACATAGGACAAATGAGGGACAGGACACCTGAAAGCCACAGCATGAACTTCTCCGGGATCTGGGGCTGTCCAGGACAGGGCTTCAGTCCAGCAGTGGCCCAGGGGCATTTGGAAGGGGAGGGGAGAACAGAAGTGAGGGAGTCTTGGCTCTTCCTAATGTGTCCTGCTGCCAGAGGCGTTATTAGAATTGGAGAGGAAGGGGACAGAAAGTCCAAGGGGAGGGATGTGGAATGGGGGAGAGTGGGGAAAGATGAGAAGGCCTTGGGGAAACCAAGAATATGTTTGAGGATGAAGGCTGGAAGAAAGTTGTCAGATTTACCCTTTAGTTTATTATAAAGGGAAAAAATGGCATTTTCTGAGTGAAGCCCATACTAGGCCTGCAGATTCCCACAGGGGTCTTTTTTACCATGGGGAAGGAAGACAGAAGGCTGTGAGTCTCAGAATGGAAGTGTGTGAATGTGCCCAGAAACCTGAGGGCTGCTAGAGCAGAGGGGTCTCACCTCCCTCTACCCCATGCCTTCCAAGACTGGCAGTGAGACAAAGAGGGACAATGTCCCAATGGGAGAGGCTCAGAGCCTCTGCTCAGAGCTCTCAGGACTGCTGAGCTCAGCAGAGCGGAAGCAGGGAGGCCCGAGGAGTCTGGGATAGCAGCTGTGAGTGCTGGCTCCCAGCCAGCCCCCACTCCTTCTCTCCTGGTCCACAAACAGCCCCTCATCCTCACCCCAGAGCTTGCAGCCTTAAGCTGAGCTGATGTCATCAACAGTTGTATCAAGAATGAGTCCACAGGGAAGCAACTGGAAGAAGCAGGACTTCTTTGCTGTGGCATTTTGGGTAAGTCACTGCCCTTTTCTGGGCTTCAATGAACTTAGAAAACAGATGATGGAGTAGGGCAGGTGGTGCTTCAGGTTCAACGGGCTCTGATAGTCTTAGTCTGGGTAACTCTAACCCCACAGGGATCCCTGATGTCTCTACTCCCTTTCACAGCTGCAGGAAGCTGGGCTTCTTAGCATTAGTCCCAGATTTCAGACATGATCCTGGGAATGACATGTGAAGCTGCTGTGTCCAGAACTATCTAGCTAAATTCTTCCATGGCTCCCACTGTCTCAGGGTGAAATTTGAGTCTCTCATGGGATCATTCACAACTCCTCTGACAGAATCCATACATGTCACCCATCCCTCCCTGTTATCTGAGCTCAAGGCTCTTAGATCTGCCTATTCTTTTATTTTAAAAAAATTTTATATTAGTTTATTGTTCTTTTAATGCTCAGCAACAGTTCATGCCTCTGTGCTGCTTCTTCTGCTGTTCCCTCAACCTAGACACCCTTCCCTGTTTCACACACTTAGTAGGTCAGTCTTGAAAACTCAGCTCTGATACCACCTCTTCCAGGAGGCCTTCCTTGGTTCCCTTCTCTAGCTTGAACCAGACAGACACTCCTCTGAACTCACACAGCCTTGGGTTTCCAGTGGTCTAGGCTGCCCACACTAGCGTGCTCTGTTCCTTGTTGATGGCAGAGACTGAATCTGGGTCCTTAGACTGTTTTCATTGGCTGCAGAAGGATGGAAGCCTGCTTTCTCTGCCAGCTCTCCCAGGCAGCCTCTGAGGTGGTTTTGAGCTCCTGGCCCTGTGCTTGAGGGTTGCAGTGGAGTGGGAGAGAAAATAGGATGGTGTGATGGGGTCTACTTATTCTTATTGTATAGACATTTCTTTCCAAGTCACATTTCCCTGCCCCCTGCAGCCCTGGATGCTCCATGAAGGATCAGTGAGAGCCGCCCAGTCTGCATCCTCATTCAGTTGCCTCTCTTGCATGCTTGGCCCTTCACTTCCTGCCTGGCCCCACCGTACACCTCACCCACAGGGCTACCTCGTTGTACTTTCTGACCTCTCTCCTCTCCAAACCTGACCTCTTCCTAAGGACCCGAGTGAGGACTACTTCCCACACCAACATCCTTACCATGCATGGGTGGGCGTAGGGGTCCATCCCTTTTTTCCACCCAGAGGGATATGATATAGATTCTACTCTGCCCCCATCTAGCACCCAGCCCAACATATGCCTAAACCCCATATGTTCATGTCCCACACCTCTCCCCGAACCCCATATATGCATGGTCTGCACCTCTGTCCAAAACCATAAATGCCTGGCTTGCATCTCTGCCCAAACTCCATATATTCACAGCCCGCATCTCTGGCCAATTTCCTTCACATACATACACCCTGTCAGGAAGACTGTTTCTCAGGAACAAGTTTATTAGAGAGAACACACTAACCTCTTTCATAATACCTAACAGTATAAAAACTACAAAAAAACCCCTACTTTTCCCCCCCTCTGGCTCTCAAGTGTGAGCAACTCGGTGTGAGGCCTGGGTTGAGCTCTGAGTTGCTGCCCTATAGGAACTCACAGCTCCCTCCTAAGTGTACCTGGCCAGCCAGGAGGCCCAGGAGACTTCCAACCATTTTCCAGAAAAGGAAAGAGAATCAAGAGGAGAAGGAAGCCGTATCCAGTACTCTGGTGGTGAGGCCCAGGGCTGAGGTGCAGCTGAGCTGGAATCGGAGGTTGTCCAAAACCCAGATCAACACGCCTGTTTGGAGGAGGCTTCAGGGAAGCTCTGAGGAACAAGGAGGAGCCTGGAAGTGGCCCTCTCCTTCCCATGGAGACCACCCTGACCATATTGGCTCCCAGACCTTTTGTCTAAACAGCCAACGGCTTTCTCCAGAGCCCCCGCTGGCTCACTTATGCCTAAAAGGCAGAACAGAGCCCTCTCAAGGCTCATAATGTTGACCTGCACCTAACCACAGTGCCTTCTGAGGGGCTGCTCTGGGGGTACCTGCCAGCAGACCTGGAGCTAAGTGGAGGGGCTGCTGAGCCTGGAGAGCAGGGAGTAAGGTGGGTGAAGGGAGAGCGGTTCCCCCATAGACAAGGCCAGGGTCATTTGGCCTTCCCGCCCTCAGGCCTGGGCTCCGTTCACCCAGTTGCCTGAGGCACCTGGGAGGGCCGGCTTCCGGAAGGCCTGCAGGGCTGGGTTGTGGAGCAGCGTGTAGGCCAGACCCCAGCGAGCCCTGCTGTGGCTGGCCCTTGGTCCTGCTCCCTTGGCTGTGGGCTCCTTGGTTTGCAACAACTGCACCCCTGAAAGAGAGAGACCTCTGTGTTATTCAACAAACCCAGACAGGTCCCCAGCCAGGTCCAAGGGAAGGATGGAAGAGGCTGCTGGATTTACAGAGTGGGGATTCACCAGAAGCTGTGAGGCTGCAGTGGGATGTTTGTAAAGTGTTAGGGATACTAAGGAAGGGCTGAGGGTGTCATCCGGTAGGTGGTGCAGAAAAGGGAGGGGTAAAATCTGTGGAGGAGTAAGGTCTGGGGCCCGCTGAGGGTATCCCACGTTTTGGAGCATTTGGGAAGGGGGGTTTATTCTCTGAGAAGGAGGGATAGTCTAGCAGGCAGTGAGGGGGTGACCAAGCCCTTTACAAGGCAGTCATTTCATTTCTGTATGAGAGAGAGAGACAGAGAGACACACACACACACACACAGAGAGAGAGAGAGAGAGAGAGAGAGAGAGAGAGAGTTTCTACTATGGAAAAAATGACCATGAGACCCAACGAGGAGGGGCAGCCACAGACAGCCAAGGAAAAGAGGAAATTTGGATTTTCCTGGCACTAGCTCCTAGTGTGTGTTCAAGGCAGCCTCCTTCCTTGGAGAAGCTGGGTGGGCCCAATTCCCCCACCCAGGAAGAGGCTGCACCTTCTTCTTCATCCTCAGGCCTGAGGACAGGAGGCCGGAGCTGGGGTCTCTGTTCTCTTAGAAGCAGAGTGCAGAAGGCTGTCACGGCTGGGTGCGACTGGCTGACCTCAATCTTCAAGAAGTTGCGGTAGATGTGGTAGCCTAGGGGGATGGGGATGCAGAGCTGGGGGAGGAGAGACCTCCAGCTGGCCAGAGAACACCCCCCAGGGAACCCCTGTCATAAACAAATGTGCACCCCCCCCCACAACCCCAGAGTACACTGGCCATAGTGTGCATTAACCCAAAGACACACAGTCAGGAACAACACAGGGTGCATGTACTGCACATGGGCACGTTCTAACATGCTCAGAACATGCGACACGCATGTCACACCACACACACAGCACACACTCTATTGGCAGTTGCCGTGGGATCGATTCCCATCGTGACCCCATGTGACAGAGTAGAACTGCCTCCTCGGGGCTTCCTAGGCTGTGAGCCTTTACAAGGGAGGAGCTGCTGAGTGGGTCAGAACCAACTTCCAGTTAACAGCTGAATCCTCAACTGGTGCTCTGCCTGGGCTTCTTCCTCACACTCTGTGGAGTGGAAAGCTAAGAAGTTACACGCTCCAGACTTGCTGGAGCCAAAAGACTGAAAGACTGAAAATATCTCTACTCTTAAGGAACTAACCTGCTCATAAATAACCAACAGGCTGGGTTTATTGTCCCTAGTGGCCCACAAAGTATGCTGCATCTAAACCATCAGCTGCTGGGCGTCCTCACGATTGTCTGTGGTGATCACCAACAGACCACGCTTAGGACCCCATGTCATCTGAGCCGCCTTTCCCTTACTTCTTGTTTCTACTCTGCCAACTGTTGACATTTCTTTCCTGTCGGCTGCTACTTTCCACTTCTTGTTTAGATGCTGCCCTACACATGCACCATTTGATGCTGCTCAGATGACCTCACTACAAAATTGACAATTTGCCTTCACCTCAGAATTTTGCTTTGACAGGAGACAGTTCACGTAGCACAGCACACGTTGCCATGGACACAGACGTCCCCGGTGAGCATGCCTTGCCCGCAGACCTCTCACACGGGCACATACCGTCTGTGAACTCATCAGGCTGTGGTGGTCACACATGCACATGCCACTCAGCACACAAACACTCCGTGGACACACGTGACAGGGAGAGGCACAGAGTGCCTGATACATGAGACAGCCAGCACACACGCACGCACAGCCTGTGACACACACTGTGCTCGCGCACACACATAGGCACTGTATGCAGCGTACACCCACAGGGAGCCTCTGCACACACAGACAGCTGCAGCCCTTCTCAGAGAGACTCACAGGGATTGCACACAGAGATGCAGTACACGCAGCTGACTGCGCACACACACATGCACAGACGTGAACACACACACATTGTACACACTGCTTCCTTCCCACCAAGTTAACAGAGCAGCTAACTTGCATGGGATTCCATCACAACTTTGGACAAAGCACATTTCAGCAGAACATATTTTCTTCCTCAAAACAGCTTCAGAGAAGGAGCTGAGCTGGAAGTGCACACCTTTTAGGTGACTAGACCTCAGGGCAGGTGTGTGCGTGGAGTAGGAGGTGCTGCGGGGGGAAAATCAGGTCTGTCTGCTCCGCAAGACTTCCATGTGCCAACCCCAAATGCACATCTGTTTGGCTTATCTACTTTTTGTCTAATTCCTGCAGAACAAGCATTGCTTTTTGCTGTGGATGTTTTCCACTTTGGTGGAAGTGTGTCACCTGTTTTGTTCCATTCCCCCTCCCCTCTTTTCCACTACTTGCTAGGATCCATCATGTCTGCACTGCCGTTTCTAATTGCAGGCAACATTGACAGTGTGCACACCCACATTTTCCTTCCTCTCCTTCCTAAGGATAACCGCCTAGATCAGTACAGCCTCTCCCTTACTGCTTGGACAGCCTACCATAACTGCCAGCCCATGCCCTTGCCCGCTGACCTTACCAGGGTCAAAGGTGGCAACTCTAGGTGGCAGCAGGCTGAGGTCCATCTGGCAGAGGTGGATGGCATTGTGGAGGGCGGAGAGGAGCACTCGGCAGGAGGCCACTAGGATGCCCACCAGCGTGTTGATTTGGAAGAGAAGGAAGGTGACTGCATAGAGGGCTCGCCTGGGATGGGGGAACAGAAAGGCTGAGGCGCCCCACCTGCAGAGCCCTTTTTCTGAAATCACACTGTATGCCCACAGCATTCTTGCACTCCTACTCTGTGCTGGACCTTCTCTCTCAACCCAGCTTGACTTCTCCACCCCTCTGCAGGTTGGGGGGTCGGGATCATGCCACCCCCTTCGATAAAAGGGGAGATTGAGTACAAGAGAGTGAGAGACTTGGCCAGGGCCGTCTGGGACATAAGTGAAGATGCATTCCTTGAGCTTTCCGTGACCCCAGTCTCCCACCTCCCTCCACCCAGTCTCTCCTGGAGCTGGACTTCTCTCTCATACACAGCCTCCATCTGCCCTGCAAACAAAGTGTCTGCAATGGGAGGAGGCACTTGGTTTTGAGAATCAGAAGACCCAGAGGAGATGTGCTGGAAAGCAGGAAAGGCTCATGGGACTGCCAGACCTGACAACGGGACTATGAAAGCATCTTTTCTTGTGAGAAAGGGAGACTCTCTCGACTACCTGCTGGGCTCCCTGGGAGAGGAAGGGAATAGATGGTAATACTGAGGGTCTGTGGGAGCCCCAAGCCTAGGGGCCACCTCACCGGTTGGTCAACTCGGGGCGTCCGTGATGAGTATCCAGGAAGGCCCAGTGGGCTGCCATGTTCTGCAGAGTCACAGCTATGACCAGGATCAACCAGAAGGGCCTGGGGGTAGGGTTGGGTAGTGGTCATTGCTGGTAGCCCTCTGGGAAGAGGTCATGGAGGCCCCTGTCCCCTACCCCACTCACCATGAGTACGCCAGGGCTCGGAGGAGAAGGAGGTTCCTGCCGTGGAGCACAGGTATGAACACTAGGAAGGTGAGGGCTGTGGTCCCCAAGAAGAAGATGATTTGCTGTATCAGCAGCCCTGTCAAGGGCAAAGGGGACAGAGAGTAACATGAGGACAGACAGCAGCCTCTGTAGGACCTGGTATTCCCTGTCACACAGGGATCTGAGGGCTTTGAAATCAGACATTCATGATTTCAGATCTCTACTTTGCTGCTGTTTAACTGTACGTGCTTAGATAAGTTACTTAACTTCCCTGAACCTCAGTTTCTTCCTCTATCAAATGGGGATAGTGGTCCTTACCTCAGTGGACCATGGTGAGGATCCAATGAGAAATGTCTGTAAAAACTCTGAGAACCACAAAGTTTTTTGCAAATGTTATCTTCCTGGAATGGAGCTGGAGTCAGTTCCATCCACTGTGAGTCAATTCAGACTCACAATGGCCCTGCAGGACAGAGTAGAAATGCCCCATAGGGTTTCAAAGATTGTATTCTCTGTAAGGAGAGGCCTGATGGAGTCAAAGCGTTCAGCTCCAACCCAAAAGGTCGATGGTTCATTCCATGGGAAAAAGGTGAACGAGTGGGCTTCTGCAAACATTTACAGCCTTGGAAACCCTTTGGGGCAGTCCCACTGTCCTGGAACCCACTGGGTTCCCCCTATGAGTCAGAACCACACCAAGGGCAGTGAGTGAACCCACAGAAGCAGATAGAGGCATCTTTCTCCTGTGGAGCAGCTGGTTAACTGCAACCATCGACTTACTGATTCCGCAGCCAAGTGCTCAACCATGGTGCCACCAGGGCGACTTTCAGCGATCAAGTCAACCAAAGGGCTCGTCACTCTCAGCCCTAATTTAGTCCTTTAATCTGCCACTCCTTTAAGATCTTCAATCTTTTCCTTTCCCACTGAGGTGAGAAATGATGGAACCAGCAGAGAAGGAAATGGACCCACCAGCGCTTTGCTCACTGCAATGTCCAATGGGAGAGTCAGAAACCTGGGGCTGGGAGGGGTCGTTGGAAGTCATCTGGTCCAATCCCGTAAGGCAGGAACCCCATTGCTGTTCCAAAATGGCCACTAAATCCTGCTTGCATACTCCCAGGGTCGGGGATCTCATTACCTGCTGAGGCAGCCCACTGCTGTACAGCCCTGCCTTACACATCTGACTGTACCTCCTGGAACTGGAAACTTTCAGCCCTGAGTCTACTTTTCATGTGAATGCCTATCGGCATCTGGGGCCCACACTCCAGGTGAGGGATAGCCATTCTCTGTGGGTTCTTGCACCCCCTAATCTGAAGACTGAAGGGGCAGCATTGTGGACCCCTCCTCTGCTCTGTACCCCAGAACCTTCACCAGCACAAGCACGCATCCAGAGGGCAGCCAAGAACTGCCAAGTTCTCTTTCTCAGCTCCACAGAGGCCAGCGTCTGGGTAGGGCCAGGCTGAGGCAGGGTAAGGTGGGCAAGGGGGGCTCACCGAGGCAGGTGAAGGCGGTCTGGTAGGCGCTGAAGCTCATCCAACAGAATATGACCTCCCGAGAAGCGTGGGAGCTTTGCGGTCGGGTGTCTAGGTCCAGGGCAGCCCCTCGGTACAGAGCTCGCAGATTGGCCCTGGGGCAGCACAAGGAGTCAAAGACCTCAGTGAGCAATGTTGTTGTTGTGTACTGTCGAGTCGGAACCAACCCAGAGCTGACCCTCCAATGGGTTTTCAGGGGTAGTTAATTGCATGGGAGGATATTGCCCATCTTTCTCCCGCAGAAAGCAATACACACCCCAAAAGCCCTCCTCTGGGCCTGCTTCCAGTCAGATTCCCAATCTAATCACAACCTACAGCCAGGAAGCCCAGGGCAATGGGAGCCAGGAGGCCACTAACCCAACCTTGGAGGGCTTCCTAGAAGAGACGACGCGAGGCAGCATCTTAATGGAGAATTAGAGTAAATTGTATGGGGGCTTGAAGAACAGGAGCATGTGTCAAGGGATTCTTGGGAACCACATCAGAGAAAGACACAACAGTAGGAATGGAAAGTGACACGCGGCTCAGGCACCAGGGCAGAAGACAGGGTTGGAAGCAAAGCAGGGGTTTTGAGGAGTCTTGAATAGCACACTGAGATCCCTGGGCAGGAACTTGGAGACCTGGCAAATGCACAGGGTCCTCGGACATGGACACGTGCTCAAGTCTCCCAACCCACCTGCCTGCTCCTGACCAGGACCTCCTCCGCCCATCACTTCGGAATAGCTGACGCTCCTTTCCACTCAGTACCAAAGGGCAAGTGAGGCAGCGTGACATTCAGAGAACAACTTCTCTGCCACCCTGCACCAGCCACTGTCTCACATGGCAGGTCCAGCCCACGCAGATCCTTCCGCCATTAGCACTCTCCCCCCATCAACCACCTCCTCCTCCAGCCCCAGCCCCAGCTTCCCCAGGCTGCCTTCCTTATAGGTCCCTTCTCAGAAAAGTAACTCCATGGGCCAGCCCTGAGTCATCACGCCCTTCATCATTCAGGGACACCTCCTCAACCATACAGAAGCACCCCATCGTAAAGACTCAGACCCACCTTCTCCACCCCTACAGTGAGGCCAAATATAGTTAGGCTCAGGGACACACAGGAGCTCCTGGGTCAGGGGCCCATAGGACTCTGGCTTCTTCCTCCCACCCCACCACTGACCTCTTCACTGGTGGGTCAGAGCCTGCTACTAACCTGTGCCTCACCAGCGAGTGGATCTGGACGAAGAAAGTGAGTGAGCAGGACAGGACCAGGGCAGAGATGTAGCAAACTGAAAGAGTAAAGAGGGAGCAGAGTGCGTGGCTAGAACCCAGAGGGGGACACCCCTGCCCTGGACCCTACTCTGAACAGAAAACTCCCCCATTGCTTAGACCTCAGCTGCCCCCATCCTTCCCCGTGACATATGGTGGTTCAAATGGGGAGAGGCCAGCTCTGAGACCACAGAGCTGGCCACCGCCCTGGTTTTGTTGCTTGCATTGCTATGCGAGACTCCATCCCACTTGGCGTCCGCCTCCAGCTCCACTGTTTTTGGCTGTGTGACCTTCAGGAGGTCACGTCATATCCCCATGTACCAGTTTCCTCATGCACATGCTGTCGGGTACGCTGCTGTGCTGCCCACACTGTCGCTGAGTTAGGTGCCGATTCTGACTCACTGCCAGTGACTAGGTAGATGGAACTACCCCATAGGATTTTCTTCAGCTGTCCATCTCCTTGGAGATGGGGACCCTCCCCAACTCCTCACCTCCTGGCCATGCCCACAGATTATGAATTTTCTGTGTCACTGCAGTGGGGAAGGAATGTGTGTATGAGGGTCAAACTGTCCCATTCTGTATCTACTCCAACCTCACTATGGATCTGCATAGCAATTCCTCAAGGTTAGGGCTCAGGAATTGTTCCCATAGGGCAGATGAGGAAGCTGAGGCTAGTATGTGATGGAGGGAAATGTTCCAGCATTTCTAAGTAAATTCAGAGTGAGCCTGAGGCACCAGTACCCTGACTTCATCAGTTGACCCTGGAAAGTGTTCTTTGTTTTTTGATGACCACCAGAAACTCAAGTTGTAGACCAAATACACATGGGCGAGCCAGGTGCTGCTTCTACAGGCCACAAGTGCTAGAATAGCAGGCGTTAAGACAGGCACCTGTTAGGAGACTCAAAACTCGAACTCATTGCCATCAAGTTGGAACTGACAGGAGGAGATTGTCCATCTTTCTCTCTCAGGGAAGCTGGTGGATTTAAACTCCCAGAGAGGCTTGCCCTTTGGGTTAGCAGCACAATGAGGGGTTTTAAAACTCCCCATCGGTGATGCCCAGACTATATCCCAGACCAGCGAAAGCAGAATCTCAGGGTGGGCTTTGTGAATGCTCCCCTTATGATGTAAACATGCAACTAGGTTACTGAGGGCTCTGAAGGCAGAATCATAGTCACGTATTTCAATCAGCAATTGATGAACTCAATCGTCTATGCCATACTGGATGTCTGTGACAGTGATTCCCAAGCTGGTGCTTACATCAGACACATCTAGAAGCCTTGTTCAGCCATAGATACTGACCGCCACACACAGGATTCGGTGGGTCTGGGCTGGAGTGTGAGAGCTGAAATTTTTTTTTTTAAACTCCCACGTTATCCTCAGATACACGCAGTACTACTGCAGAAAGCTGGGGCCTCTCTACCTGGTCCTGGCTCACTCCCCAGTGTCAGGAAGAAGCATTTTCTGAAAAAGTAAGGATACGTGCCTGGGAAAAAAAGTAAGAATGCAGGCCTTTTTAGGGGGTGGGGGAAGGGAGAGAGCACACCTAGCTCTACTCTGATTTGCATCTTTCAGAGCCAGCTCACCTGCATCAAAGTGGGTTCATTTTCTGTAGCAGGTGAGAGACCTGACTTCTGAACTCAGCTGAGTGGAGGGATGGGTTGATGTTGGTGTTAAGGGTTAGCAAGACCCTTTGGCCACTGGCCTGGTCTTTAATCTCTGCCTATCTGCCTCCTGATTCTCTCAATTTTCCCTAAATTCAGTTTCCTCCAAAAGGTGATAATCATTACAACCACCTCTTCCTTGGCTCCTCTGGAACTTTGTCTCACCAGCCTTAAACATGTTCCTGCTCCTGCCCCATCCTGGACCTTGCCTTGTGTCCAGATCATCTAACTTGAGGCCTGGGCAACAAGACTAAGGTTATCTTAGCTTCAGCACACAAGTAAAACTTTTTAAAAAGTGCCTCGTGGCCATTGAATTGGAACGGATTCAGAGCTGACGCTCCAGAGGGTTTTCAGAGGCTTGTAAATCAGGTGGGAGGAGATGGCCTATCTTTCTCCCAAGGAGCAGCTGGTGAACTTGAACTCTGCCTTTGGATTGGCAGCATAACTCCTTACTCACTAGGCCATGACAGCTTCTGAAACCCTTGGTGGGATTCCAGAAGGAGCATCTTTATCAGGGAGGAGAGCAAAGCTTGAAATGGGCTCTTTGATTAGATTCCCTTAAAGCCTGGCCTTGTTTGGGAGTGGACAGCTGAGAAAGTTTCAAGGAGTCTTAGTTCACATCCAGAGATGTGAAGTGGCTTGCCCAAATTCACACCACTTGTGCAATTCTAATCTAGTCAGCTTAAGTCAGAGTCTGAACTTCCTGTGGGTGATGTTCAAACTACAATCCAGGTACCAAGAAGTGCAGCCCCAGTGAAGGGCTCACAGAAGACATCAGACCTTCTTAGACTAAGAATAGATCAAAGGGTTCCTAAACTCACAGCTAATCTCAGTTTCACCCCTGGCCAGCTGAATGATGCCTGACATATCTTTAATACTCCTGGGTCTTGGTGTTCTTCCTCTCTAAACTGGAAAACTAATGTTACCCTATTTGTTCCCAGCATCCAAGAATATTCACAGTAGAAGCGCCTGGGCTTAGAAATAGCAACATGTTAAGTACATGTGAAGGCGGGGTTAAGTAGAAGCAGAGTCCATTTGCCCTGGACAGACCACTTCCTACTTCGGAGCTTTGACTTCTTGCTCTCTGAGATGCGCGCAGCAACGCATACTTAGCAGGGCTGCTGTGAACGAAGGTCTGGGCTTGGATGTGAATGAACAAGGGTCATGTCTGCCTGTGCCTGTGGCTCAGGGGCTGCCAGCTTGAAACACCTCCAGAGAGATAATTTTCTGCCCACCTTCTGACTTGCCAGCTTGTGGGCCTTGGCAGCAGTCCCAGGTCAGCCTATGGTACGGAGCTAAAGGGTTCAGGAAGGTGGGTGAATTGGTCCTGATGGAAAGTCACTGAACACCCCCGGGCTCACCCTTGTCTTACTCTATCTCTGCACGGCCAGGTCTATGAGTACAAGGATGTTGTTAATGGTCAGGACCAGCTGCAGAGCAGTCCCACCTCCACCTGCCAGCCTGGTAGCCTAAGTTCTAACCATCACGTATTACCCCCAGAAGCCAGCATGCTGCTGTTTCTGCCCTTGAAGGCTACTTCACTACACACCAGCCTGGAACTCCAAGTTACCAGGCTTTGTACAAGGTAGTGGGGAGTGCCTGGCCTAGGCCTCAGGAGGCTCGAGCTCTTCTCATGGTCCTACTTGTGACCTGTTATGCAACCTCAGGCAGGTCTTTCTCCATGAGTCAAATGGGGTGGCTTCGCCATGCCCTCCACAGAGTTGTTAGGAGGGTCTGGCAGGTGGGTATTCCCTAGTGGGGCTGCAAAAGCCATCCAGTCATGGAGGGGAAGCTGGTATCATTCCCTGGCTTGAAAGCTCAGCATCAGGGCAGGAGAGAAGGAAGAAGAGATGACGAGAGATGGCAGGGATTGGAGAAGAGGAAGCACCCACCCTTTTCAATCCCGCCCACCTCCCATGAGGATCCTCCTTCTCCGTTCTCAGCAAAGGCCCCAAAGCCTGTCCCTCAGCTCATTTCTACCATTGCCTGCCCCACCTCCACATCAGGGCAGCCAGTCAAAGAACATGGGCCGAACATGGCTGAACATGGGCTGGGAAAAGTCACAAAAACTGACAAGCAGCAGGGAGCTGGTTGAGACTATCTCTTTAGGTCTGAAAAACTGATAGGTGGAAGCTCCAACTTCCCCAATCTGGAGAAGGGGCAAGCAAGGCCCAGAGAGGGGCAGGGATGTGCCTCAGAACACACCGTATGCACACATTGTGTTCCAGTTTCACTATCCTCACTGCAGCCCACAGAGAGACACCCTGGAGGCCTCACCTTCCAGTGCCCACAGGTGGTACTTCACCAACTCCACCACCTCCTGCTTGTCATCCGAGAGCACGATGCCAAAGCCGGCCAGCAGGTAGGAGACATCCGTGGTGATGCCTGACCTCACCGTCTGCATGGTGGGGACAACGCTCACCACCAACAGCAGCGCCACCTGTAAAGGCCGCAGAGAGAGGGCACCAGGGCCCATGTGAGCTGGTACTTAGCAAGTACCATTCCTGGAAATATCTACTGAATTGACAAGGATGACTTTAGGAAGAAACTTGGGCAGCACGTTGTCTGTAGTCAGAGCTTTCCATTATTTTGAAACAGTTTGTGGCCCACAGAAACAAGCGCAGCACATGCCCAGCCCTGCAGCCAGATCTCTTGGTGTTGACTTTTGACCCATGTAACAAACAGGCCGTGGTGCCCTGATCAACTCTGCTAGCTGACTGACATATATGCTCAGTCCTGTGGTGGACACACTGCTTCCTGCTTCCTATTCTGGCCAAAGCCTATGGAAAAGGGACTGGGTTACCATGCAATGCATGCGCTGCCCTTGTTTTTTGCTGGCTGTACCCATTTCGTACTAATTCAAAGCCCTATACCCATCTCAGGATGGTCTTACCCAACTCTAAGAACAGGAGCCTCACAGCAGTGGGCTACAAATAGATACCACTTTAGCATAAAGAACCAAAGACATACGTTTAAGCAGCATGACTGTGTACACATTAAATATAATAATAAAATAGAAAAATAATTGTGTAATATAGAATTTTCCATTTTTTCCCTGTTGTAGAAAGCCATGCCCTGTAAAGGAGCAGGCATATCGAAGCTTGGTAGATGTGGCCTCAGGGTGGCTATCTTATATTTTAGTTGTAAAAACTTGCCAAGTCAATGTCACCTGTCTGAACCTCAATTTTCCCACCTGTTAAATTATAAGTGGGGAGTGAAAATCATACCTATCTCCCAGAGTTGGTTTGTTTTTTTTTTTTAATTTTGAGGAGCAAGGTAGAGAGAAAGAGGCTTTATCAAATGCTTATTACCTAAGTATTTTAAACACTCCAGGGAGAAAGGTATTTCTGCTACATGCCCTCCAATTTAAAGATAAGCTAAAAGTTCATCAAGGTTGGCTGACTTGCCTAAGGACACACGGTAGGTAAATAACAGGGCCAGGATTGACATTCATCTTTATAGGATCCCCAAAACTCATGCCCTCACTACTGTGGCTACAGGAGTTAACAGCCTGTCTCTGGACAGAAGCAGCCAAAGGATTGTGGGAGGGGCTTTCAGAGCACTGAGCTCGCCTTGAGCCATCCCAGGCTGTGGGTCCAAGGCAAGCGCCCAGGAGCAGATGGCACTAGAGGAAGCAGGACGTACCTGGTAAATAGCTGTCCCTGACAAAGTGGCGGAAATCACCAGCTTCAAGGGGAGTCGGAATCCTGCAGTCCTCAAAAGAACGGACATGGTGAGCTCCACCACTATTCAGATCTGGGTGTGCCATCTCTCCCAAGGGGTGCAGGGAAAAATCAGAGTTGATAAAATTATCAACCATGAAGGCCAGGACAGAGGCTTCCTCTCATCCCAAGCAGTGGTTGCTCTTTGTGTTAACAAGAGTCCTGGGGGAGGGGGTAAGGAGCGGCTCTCCACGGCAGTGGGTATGTGGGACCACCTGCCCTCTGGGCCTCGGCTCCCCTCTCATACCTTGCTGAGGGATGTAGATATGGTGCTTGAAGCAGATCCAGGCCCGAGACAGGAAGTTACGCTTGGAGGTGTGAGAGCTGCAGAGATCGGGCAGATGAGGGGTCCTCAGGAGAAGCCTCTGGCCTGAGGCCGAGCCCCAGGGCCTGGCTCATCCTCCCTCTCTCCAGCCCTGCTCTGCTGCCCAGTGCTGGCCTCCAAAACAACCTGGGAGTGTGCCGGGGCCTCACCTGCTTTCCAGCTTCTTCCTGCGAAGGAGATCCTTCAGATACTCCTCAGCGAGGCTGCCCTTCACCTGTGGAGGCAAGTGAAGACGAGGAGCAGATGTGACCTGCCCAGACCATGCCTGGGGCCCTGACTGAGATTGCCACAGTGGGCATGTGGTTGGTGCTCATCAGAGCCCTTAGCTGTGGAGTTAACGGAGCACAGAGAGGGCCTGAGCTACAAGGATGAGGCCAAGGCCCTGTGCAGCTGCCCTTCCTGCCTCTCCACAAATGCATGATCCAGCAATCAACTGAAGAACCCTCAGTCCTAGGAAGTTCTTCCAAGGATCTATCTCCCACTATCTCTTGCTTTATTCCATCACATTCCATGACTGCTGCCCTCTTGGTCCTCTGGCCTGGCATATTGATGACTAGGACATAAGAGAGGGGACATTCCAGGTCAGAAACCCTAGGTCCTTCCTGCTATGACTCAAAAGAGATCACAAGGGTGACCAGATTTGTCTAAGCCAAATCCTTAATCGGCCTGCCATGTGGCTGAGGCTCATGGGAAGGTGGGGTCAGCCCCTGCCCCAGATCACAGGGAGAACACAGAGAGGCTTGTCACCTGTTGCCACGACGACCATGGCATCCAGGGTGGGCGCAGGTCAGCTCAAAGCTTCATTTGGTCCTTTGAAGCCTAAACCTCTTTGACCATGGGCCAACGAGGGTTTTATTTCTCATGACTCAGGAAGAAAGGCATGCAACGGAGGAAGAGGTGAGGCAGAGAACATCCTCGGGAAAGGCAGCAGAGATGTGCCTGGCACGCTGTGTATCCTGAGAATAGCCACTCCCTGCATCTGGGTCAGTTGAAAAGTGAAGGATATTGGGGTTCTCTCCCCCCCAAAAAAGAATGGGTGCATCAGGAGTGCGGTGAGTGGAAAGTCCTTAGAACAATACTCACTATTGTGTGAGAGTGGAACCAAAAATCAGGTAGGTCTTCCCCGACCAGAGGGTCCAGACGTGACCCCAGGCGGCCCCACAGCACTGAGCTCACCCCAGCCTCATCTCTCCTCAGCCTCCATTGCCTCGCGTTCTTCTTTAGTCTGACAACACTCGAGAGCTCACACACGGTCCCAGCCCTGATTTTGTGACCCAGCTGTCCCCTGGCCACCTCCACCGAAACCTCACTCAATTCCTCTAACCGTCAGCACATGCAGGACAGAGCGCGGACCCTGCATAGTCGCTCTCTGTCCCTTGTGTCACCTGCAGGCCCTTTTTCATCTTCTTCACAGCTGTGTCCTCAACTTTTCCTGAGCCTGGCCCTCTTACTCTTTGTGGGTGTCTGTGGGGTTTTTCTCTTCCTCCTCCCTCACCAGCCTCTGCCTGTGTCCCCAGGGCATCCGGATGATCCCCTGCTGCATAAGCACACTGCAAGTCACACTGTGAATGTCTGGAGCTGCACCCATCTCCAGCACCACAATAGGAGTTCTCCCCGGAGGCCAGCTCCAAATCAGTCGTTTCTGTGCCACATACATTCTCTATATACATGAGTGTATGTACCATTAACGCATGATGGCTGCTCAGAAGGTTTTTTAAAAAGATTGAAATACATTGTGAGAGCTGTGTCTCCTCAGGATAGATTTACCCTCCCATCTACTGGCCATCATCCATTCCTCAATCTCTGATCTTTGCAAAAATTTTAAAAATCCATTATGGGCAAAAGCCTACTAAGTGCTGCAAATACAGATATGGACAAAACAGATGCAAATTCATCTCTTGCTCTCTCTCCCTCTACTATTGCTCTTGCCCTTGTCCGCTTTAGGAGGCTCTGGTGGTGTAGTCCAAGGAAGCTGTGCTGTCAACACAAAGGTGGGGGTGGTTCATTTCTGCTAGTTTGAATCTACTAACTGCTCTGAGGAAAGAAAACAGATAATCCTCTTGTGCTATTTACAGCCTCTAAAAACCTACAGGAGGGTCGGCTATGATTCCGTTCCAACTCCATGACAATGAGGTGAGCAATGCCCTTATTTTCTTCCCACTCCAAATTTCCCGTTGTTTTGTTTTTGTTTGTTTGTTTTTTGGTGTTTTTTTTTTTTGCTCTGCTAAAGTCTGCTTCCTCCAGGAAGCCTCCCTAGCCTACCTCACTTCTCCCAGAACTCCCCTTTATCTGACATAATATAACTGTGTACAACTTAGAGCTAAGTTGGATTCTCTTCTGCCCTCACTGGTTTCTAAGCACTTCAGTGTCTGCAAATTCAGCTCCTCTGATCTGTCTTATTTCTCCAGCTGGCTCCTCAGTGCTTCAGAGTGACAGCTTTCCTGTCTTCTGAGCCAGTTCTCCTTTGCTGAGTCCTAACTGTCCAAGTATCTTTGGTGCCAGCCAGGGATAAAGGAAGAGCAATCAGTCACTTGGTGAGTGAGCAAACCATTCCTGAGCATCATCTACTATGCTCTAGGTCCTGCTCCAAGCATGCAGAGGACCAAAGATGTGGGGTCTACAAGGAGTCTTTGGGTGCTGACCTGGAGCCCACCCCAGCCTTGCCCCTTTACCTGGGAGTCTGCTCCTGACCGGCGGCTGAAGCTTCTCACCAGCTGCACAGGATACCAGATGCTCAGGAATCCCAAGCCCAGGAAGAGCGGCAGGGAGGCCAGCAGGGAGTAGAACTTGTAGATCTAGATAGATAGGCAGACAGACACCCAGAAAGATCTACCTTCTGTCTTCCTCTCCTTCCCAAGGACCAGAATCCATTTCTCTTCCCATCTCCCCGGGCCTCTGTGAAGGGCCTGAGGATGGTCGAGTGCTGTGGGAAAGCTCCGGTTCTGTCACCCCCCCATCCTGAATAACCCAGCACACCTACTTGCTCTTCTAAAGCCCTGTAAATGTGCTCACCCCACCCAAATCCCTGAGCCCCACCCCCACTGCCCAAAGAGAATCCAAAAGGGAGGAGATTATGGAGTCAGCTCCACCCTACTCCTAAGGACTAGTCAGGGGCTTGACACAGGAAACACGGCTCTCTGTGTTCTTAAGACGCTGGAAGTTTTAGATACATGTATGTATGTATGAATAAGGAGGACAGAAGAAGAATTGATGCCTTTAAACTGTAGTATTGGAGAAGAGTATTGAATATCATATGGACTGCCAAAGAACCCAAATAGATATGTCTTGGAGAAGGTGCAGCCAGAGGCCTCCTTGGAGGCAATGATGATAAAGCTTCGTCTCACAAACTTTGGGCATGTTGCTAGGAAAGGCTATTCCTTGGAGATGAACATCATGCTTAGAAAGATTGAGTGTTGGCAAAAGAGAGGAAGATCCTAAATCTGGTGGACTGACACAGTGACTGCAGCAATGGGCTTCAGGGTGTTGGAGATTGCAAGATGTCACAGGATAGGACAAGGTTCAGATCTGTCGTTGATAGGGTCACTATAAGTCAAACTTGACTCAACAGCACCTAACAACAACACGTGGATGTACAGGTAAGCCATACAGTCAGAACCAACCCATAGCTGACCTTCCATTGGTTTTTCAGAGATTACAAATCACATGAGAGAAGACTGCTCCTCTTTTGCCCCTGGAGTAGCTAGTGAATTTGAACCGCCTTCCTTTGGGTTGGCAAAGCAACTCCTTACTCACTAGGCTATAATGTCTCTGAAAATTAGACAGAAGCCTCCTGTCTCTGTACCATCTCCAACATGTGCACCAGGGAAGTGAATGTCCTGCCTCCCAGGTGAAACGGGACCAGATCCCTATGTCTTCACTCATTTTTTTTTCTGTCAATTCAACAATTGAATCATTGAGAGTTTGGTGTATACTGTGTTCTAGGTGCTGGAAATTAAGTATTTGCATGCAAATAAACCACCAAATCTTCACCTCAGCCTGGAGAGATTGGTATTATCAAACCCCTTTATAGATGGGTAGATTGAGTCACAGAAAAGTGGCATGTGTTTCTCAAAGCATGTACACCTCCTGGAACCGTTTGGTGTAGTAGTTATTTACTTTTCTGTGTCTCCTTCTGCAATGATAGCTGTGAGAGCCAGGGACTTGCCCATGGATATCTCCCAAGTACCTAGATATGAACCTGATATGACATACATGCTTGAAAATCTTGTAGAATAAGTGAGGAGGAAATAAATGAATGAATGAAGTGATAAAAGTGGATTCAAACTCAGGTAGTCTGGTGTGGAAGCTTTAACTACCACCCCTTTGGGCAGTAGCTTGGACAACTTCACGCATTTAGCCAGTGAGTCAGGTCCTGAGGTTCTGGAACTTTTGGCTAGCCCTCTGAGACCAACCCCAGCCCATCACTGGTTGTCCTCCCTCTCTCTTCACGTGCGCCCACTCCGCCGGGCCTCTGCAAGACTGGAATCAGTAAGGGACAGAAATCCAGGCTTCCTCTAACTCCTTCTCTGTCCACTTGTCCTCTCCTTCCTCCCCTCAGACTGGAAGCTCCTGAGGGCAGGGTCCAGTTCTCTTGTCCTTGGCCTCTCTTGTAAGGAGGTCAAGCTTAGGAATAAGTACATTTTTAAGGAAGTCAATTCTGAGCCTAATGGTATGTGGTAGAGATGCTCATCAGATAAAAAGAAGTAAAAGGAGCCACTGGGTTTAAGCAGGTTTGTCTGCACAGTTCTCTGTCCCCACCATTGCGAGTCTGCGTTACCTTGGGTGCCTGGGGACACTCCACCTTCTGCCAGACCTGAACTCCAAAGTGGACCCAGGACAGCATGCTGCCAAGGAGGGATGCGGCTCTGTGCCTCGTCGTGGCACAGGCTGCCAGAGGGTAGTAGAGGAGCGGGTAATAGAGTAGAGCCAGCATCTTCCAGAGCCCTAGAAGGCAAGATGCAGAGAAACGTGTAAAGGTGAGGGCCAAACATGGAGCGTGGGTCCAGCCCACCAAGGCCTATCTCCTGTCTTCATATTCAAAGCTGATTCAGTGGTAAGAGCCCCAGGTTCAAATCCAAGCTCAGACAGTAGCTTTTGGGATCTTAATTTCCCTGTCTATAAAAGAGAAAAATAGTCTATTACCAGTTGCTATGGAATCAGATCTGATGCTGAGCAGCCTCACATGGATCAGAATAGAACTGTGCTCCATAGGATTATCCATGACTGACTTTCCAGAAGCAAATCTCCAGGCCCTTCTTCCTAGGTGCCTCTGAATGAACATCAGCCTCCAAACCTTTGCTTAGCAAAGTGTATGGTCTTGCTGTTGGATATCATCAAGTCAATAGTGACACCATGTGGCACAGTAGTCCCCTGGGTATTTTTAGGCTGTAATTTTTATGGGCACTCATCACCAGATCTTTCTCCTACAGAGCTGCTGGGGGGGGGGGAGGTTCGAACCACCAACCTTTCAGTTATTAGCTAAGTGCTTAACTGTTGTGTCAACCACGCTCCTTAATTAATCCATTGGCCACCAAGTCTATTCGAGCTTATTGCAGCCTTATAGGACAGAGCAGCACAGGGGAGGACAAAGCTTCAATCTACTGTTCATAGAGGCTTTTAGGGGTTGTAGTTGACTCAATGGCACATCACCATAGTGACAAAGGACAGAGAACAGTCTGTAGGGGTTTCCAAGGCTCTAGTTTCTTATGGAGGAGCTCTGGTGGCCTTGTGGGTAAGAAGTTGTACTGTCAGCCCAAAGGTCCATGGTTCAAATCTACCAGCTGCTCCTCAAGAGAAAGATTGGCAGTCTCTCTCTGTGCAAATTACATCCTTTGAAAACTGCTGGATGGCCAGCTATGAGTTTGGTTCTGACTTAATGGCACAGAACAACAAGAAGTCCATGGAAGAAGACTGTCCGTAGAACAGCTGGTGTGTTCAAACCTTCAATTAAGCAATTGAGTGCTTAACCACGGCACCACCATGGCTCTTGGCTCTTTAATTAGTGGGAGCTCAATGAGAAGCTACATGTGCAGTGCCTAGCACAGTAACTGAATGCTGCTCAATAAAACAAGGTTGCATTTTAGAATATTTTTCTTCCCTGACCATCAGTTCCCACCTCCCTTGTCCATTAATTGGTGTTGATATCCATACTTTGCAGGGTCATTTTGAGGATCGGATGATCTCACGGGCGTCATTCCCTAGGGGAGTGTCCCTATCTCATGGCCGCTGTCCTTGTCACCATCACCTTCCTTGAGTCGAGGTGTAATTCCTCAGGATCTTCTCCGTGGCACCCTCCCTATCACCCTGCATTCTCCCACAGGGCTGGGGAACTCAGCCTGTGCCCATGAAAGAGGGAGTTCTCACCCTCCTGGAAGAGGGTCTGTGTAATGATGGAGGAAACACTGGGAGTGGCAATACTAACTAAACAGCTATCATCAATAATGGTGAGATTGCAAGACTGTGGTGGATCGCTGGGGAGGGGAGGGGAGCAGCATCTCACAACTGGGCATAGGAGCTGCTTTGCTCACTCACAGAAGAGGCCTGACCAGTGCCAAGGATCACACACACACACAGCTGCACTGGTACCTTGGAAGGGCGTCCAGATGAGGGTCAAGAAGGGCAGCGAGTCCTCGTCGGGGAGTAGCAAACACAGGGAGCTGAAGAGGACCATGAAGACAGCAGCGGGCACCATCCGGGGCTCGTCCTCAGCCAAGAAGTCCACAGGGCTGGCTCAGAGGCAGGGACAGGGTGGAGGAGGTGCTGAGTTCTTGCACCCCTAGGACCTCTAGTTCATGCTCCACCAACCAGGGAGGTAGAGTTAGCTCCACTTTCCAGACAAGATAACTGAGAGGGGACTTTTCCCTATTCATTCATTCATTCCACAAAGATTTGTAAGATGTCTTCTTTGTGAACAGCCAGTGCACTCATCCTGTGGCAAAGTGACCAGGGAAGCCCTCAGCCCCAACACACACACACACACACTGAGAGCATGCCCAAGCACTGTTCCCTCCACCCACCCTGGAAGCGCCAAGAAACAGCCGCCTCCACACTAATCTGTCTGTCTGGACTGGCAAGTCCTTAGAGAGCTCAGCAAGTCACACACTGTCCTTATGCAACGGCCACTGCCTCTGGACTGGGTGTGGGCCTGGGGGCAGAGGGCAGACAGAGGGCACAGCTATCCCAGGCATCGCTCTGCTGGGCTCAAGGCCGAGGGTTCAGGCTGCTGCTGCATCCCAGCTTGCCCACACATCCCCAGTCTTGTGTCCTTGGTTCTCTCCCAGGCCAAAGTCTTGTCAGAACAGGGCCAGTGGCACGCCCAAGGCATTCCAGTCCCTGAGGACACTCAGAAGCTGCGTCCTGGAGCCAGGTCCTAATGCCTAATGGACTCATATCTTCCCACAGTCTAGAATGGGAGCTTTCTCCTCACGTGCCAAACAGCAGGAGCAAATGGCCTGCATGGGTCCTTCCCTCTCCTTTAGGATTCCTGACCAAACCTGGTGGTGGGGGTGGGCATGGGGAGAGCCTCCAGGCTGAGAGAGGTGAGGAGGGCATCACTGAAACCAAATCTGGCTTTTATGTACTTGACAAATCACCCACCATCCCAGGATAGTCCCTACCAGCTGGACCTCTGAGTGGGGATGCCCAGGCCCTGGCACCTACCTGGGCAGCCCGGGCCTGCTGTACCCACAGTGGGGCCATAGCTGGCGACGCCTCACCAGCAGAGCCAGCAACAACAGCACAAGAACCTGCAGAGGAGTACGGGAAAGGGGTTGACACTACCCTGGGACCAGACCCTGCTTGACTCAGGTCCAAGGGCCCAGCCACAGCTTTCGGTGCAGGTGCCCTTCAAACTGCCCTCAAACCACCTGTCCCACTCCCAAAGGCCTGGATCTCAGGGCTTAGCCTCCTCCACAGTGCACACCCTTGTGGCATCTTGGGACATGGCCAAGAAGTGATAGACATCTGGGAGGCTGGACTTAGAGCCTGGCTTGGGAGTCTACCTGATAGGGTCCCCAGGTCCCCCTTCTCACACTCTGGGCTTCCAGGGCCTCCTGGAGCTAGTCCTAGCAGACTAGGGAGTCCTCTGGTCATTGTAGCAGGTTGTAGTCAGGTTGGACTCACCGAGAGTGAGGCGAGGCAGGCGTGGAAGAGGTTGGGTGATACACTGGCCTGGCACAAGATTACCGTCCTGCAAAGTGACCAGAAGGAGGGTCAGGCCTGGTCCAGAGCTGCTGCGTGTGCAGCCCAGGTCTGGGGTGCAAAGCTCCATTAATCACCCCCACCTTTGGCCCTTGGGACTTCTCCCACACAAGCCTGCCCAGTTCTGCTTTCACGAGATCATCCTGAACCCTCATGCTCCTATGGTATGTCCAGGGATAGTTGTGAAGTGTGTGTACTGCACGAGAATGTTCAAGCAAAGAAGTGTGGAGGGTATGAAGTCCCATTCATTCTGTACCTCCATAGCTTTGTAGGTATACTCAACTGAGGATCCCTTTTTCTATTTACCACAAAGGGCTCCCTCTGGGCTGGAAGACTTCTGTCTTGATTTTGCCATAACTGAGCATAGAGACAGGTCCACAATGGAGGTAAAGAGTCCAAGGAGGACAGTGAAGGATTCAAAGTCCCTTTCTGGGTCTCGAAATAAGAGGAAGTGGTTGAGAAGTGGAAGAGCATTGCTCTGAACTCAGGATGGAGCCTGGGCCTGGAGATACAGACAGGACTGAGTCCCCAGGGAGGGACAAACCTCCAGCTGGAGCCTGGGAGTGCTTAAGAAAGGACACCAGTGGGCCAGGCCAGGCAGGGTCTGGTGGGGACAGGCAGAAATCCCAGGAGGCTCAGCCCACTCTCCTGGGCACCCACCTGCTTACGTGTGGAGAAGAGCACAAGGGCTCATCTTGCAGGGTGAGCTCAGAACTCTGGGAAAAAACTCAGTCTCCCCTGAAGAAGTCTTCCCTGAAGAAGCCTCTCTCTCAGGAAATCCCAGAGTGGCAAGACAGGGAAGAATATGGCCCAGGGTTTGCCCTTGGAGTGGAGGAGAACAGTAAGTCCATTCTGTGCATGATCTTGGTCAGGGTAGAGCCACTCTCATCAGGAGCAGAAGTAGGGGCCACATAGCAGATCCAGTTCCCACAGTGCACTCAGGCCCCCAACCCTTCCAGGCCTGCTGCTGAGGCTTCTCACGCTGGTGGGTGGGTGGAGTGTGAGAAGGCGAAGACCCCATATTCAGAGCTGCCCTTCTCAGACTAGATCCTGTTTGGCTCTGGGTTACAGAGTCCAATCAGAGTTGCCAGAGCAGGAACCCTAAAAACTGCCCTGGGATTGCCTGTCCAATCCTTCAGGATCTCAGCGCAACTAGGAGTCAACCTACTCCAGAGGGGTGACCCCTGGCCCCATCTCTTCCTCCAGACATCCCTCATCTGACCCTTCCTCTCACTTGTTAAATGAGCAAATGCTTGCCTGATAGTGGACTCTTATCTCATGCTGTTGGACAGGCAGGATGATCAAGCTACAGCTCTAAAGAATGACACCTGGGAATGCCATCCTAGGAGAGACCCGATTAGGTACTGAAGGGTCAAGAGGAGGGAGAGAGATATCGGGAGCCTGGGGTCCTGCCTGGTGCAGGGGTCTTGATGTTCTCTCCATTCTCGGCAGAGCAGTCTGGCATTGGGCCACCTGGTGGGAGGACAAGCCCTTAATCTTACCTTCCCAGGAAGGCCTTTGAAGTACTGGGGAGGTGAGTATTTGTATCCCCAGGCTCTGGATGCAAAGTAGCACTGGTGGTGGGTGAATACCCATGAGCACATCTATCACAGGCGGGTGTTGAAGGGCTGGGCACATACCAGACTGGACACGCACCCTCTGTACCTTGGAGAAAGCCAGCTTCTTCACTCAAGTCAACCTCACACTCACTGACGCCCCCGGAATAATACATCAAATCACCAGAAACCTTGCCAACCATGTCCTGGTGCCGCAGTGGTCCCTGAGGCCACCCAGCAGCTGTCACTGAGTGTTCACAAATCCAAGGTGGGCAATGCTGGGGGCAACCAAGGCACAGAAGGAGACAGCATCTGGAAAGCCCCCAAAGCACGGGTGCACGGTCTCCCTGGGGTATCTGGTTTATGCAAAGAGGGGTGAACCCAAGATCACCTCTTTGGGATTCCCCTGAGCTCCTGGTTTTCTGCTCCCACCTTTGGGTATGGGGGAGAGCAGCCCGATATTGTTTGGCAAATGCTTAGCCACAAAGCCAAGCTCTGCACTCCTCGGGGTGACAGGGCCTGCACTGGGGGAAACACAGGACCCCAAACCCATTGCTGTTGAGTGCTCCTGGATTATGGTGACGCCATGTGTTACACAGCAGAACTGAGCTCCACAGCGGTTTCCTGGCTGAAATCTTTAGAGAAGCTGACCGCAGGCTTTTCCTCTACAGCGTTATGAGAGGGTTCGAATCACCAGTGTTCAGATTAGTCAATAATTCAACTCAGTGCCATGGAATCCGGATTGACCCATAGCTGGCCCCTCGGCGGGTTTTCAGAGGCTGAAATCGCTCTGCTTTCTCCTGAGGAGCAGCTGGTGCACTTGAACTGCCTTTGGGTCGGCAGCCCACCGCTTTACCCACTGTGCCACCTGAGCTCCCCTTTAATTTAGCAGTAGAACCAAAAGAGTTTGCAGAACTCAGGGACCTCATTCAGTGGGACAAAGAACCTGCAAACCTCAGATGCCACTACGCTGGGGGCAGTACTGCCTACCTGCCTTCCCACCAACCCTCCCCACCCTCTCTGCTTGCAACCAGTTTCCCAATTTAACACCCCGGCACCAGGGGCTACAGGCTTCTGGTCTGAGCCAATGCCCAGGTCGCCCAAGGACAAAGGTCGGGATCCTTTTCAGAGATTCCAGGGTCCCTCCCTAACCTGTTACTTGGACCCCCAACCCACACTCACATACTGAGGCCAGAAACTCCACAGGCTCTTCACTGTCAGCCAGGGGAGGGGAGAGGGGTTACTCCCTTGCTGTTAAAAGGCTGCTTTCCAGGTGGTCAGAAGCTCCAGTTCTCCAAACAATGGCTCCATCCCCCCAGGCTTGGGTGGGGCCTCCATCCCTGTGGGTGACCGGAGCCTGGCCAGGCCGCAGCCCCAACCCCCCTGGAGCCACGAGAGCATTTTTCCTTCTCCAGTGTTCCTTCTCCAGTGTCGGTTGCTGATGGAGAACAGATGTGCACACATCTGGCTCAGCAACACCCCCAGTCTTACCTTTCTGGTTCCCCAGACCCTCCAACAGAGCAGAGAGGTATGAGATGGGGCAGAGCCACGAAGAGGGAGAAGGATGGGTAAAGGTTCCCACACTGGCCAAGGTCTTTGGTACTAGCGAGAGGGCAGAGTGGCATCCATGATCAGCCAAACTAAACAAGGATGGAAGGGTTGTGGACGAGAGAGGGTGACACTGAGGCGGGCAGAGTGTCTCCCTTACTCCATCCTCCTGGCTGGCCTGCTGAGAGATTGGGGATCTCCTCATCTAAGACAATGAGAAGTGTTTGCCCAGACATCTCCCAAGTCAGGCTTTCTTCAAAAGGTTCTCTGCCTTCCCCTCCTCTGTCTGCTTGGAACCCAACATCTGAGAATACCACAGTCCACATGGTCACTCCAGCCACCAGTAACCCCTGAAAGGCCAGCCTGGCTTCTTGCAACCTCAGAGCTCCTCCGACCTGGTTGCAGACCAGAGTCAACCCCCCTCCATGGGATGATTCAAGAGAGCCAGAAGAATCCTACCCAGATAAGCTAGATCAGAATCGCCAAGGATGGGCCCAGGACCTGAATTTTAACACACCGTGCAGGTGGACTTGAGGAGGCCAACTGGGCTATGACTTTCCACTTCCTGCATCTTAATAGCAGCGTGAGACTTATTTCCGCTTAGCAGAGTGAACACTGAGTAGGTAACCAAAGTCCAGAGAGGTTGTGATTTGCATAGAGTCACACAGCACATGAAGGGCAGACCCAACTTAGAAAGCTCATTTCAGAAGCCTAAACCGCCCTGCTCTGTGACCTCTTCCACACCCCACACTGAGCACACAAGCTAGGGTTCACACTCACCCCTCAGGCTTGGGCTCCATTCCCCCCTGAGGCTCATCAATGTACCAGCTGCCATAGGAGTAGTCCTCTGTGGCATCAGGGGTCTGGTTTCCTGCTGCCTGGGATGACATTCTCTTGATCTTCGCCTTTGACCTCCAGAAAAGAAAAAAAAAAATAAATAAAAAGCCACAACAGATCTAGAAAATGGCTTTTAAAAAACCCCAACGAATCAACAACCAGCAAACAAAGAAACGTTTCTCCTAATCCTGAAGGTTACTTTCTTGCTTTTTAACTGTCTGGGAAAAGCCTGTCTGGGAGTGAGGGCCTGCGCAGGCTGGCACAGGAGGAGGGGACGGACCTCCCATGTCCCCTCCCGTCCCTTCCTGCCCAATTTCTACCCAATCCTGCAGAAGCTAACTGCGCCCACTTGGGGTCTTTGGGGCTATGGCTGAAGCATCTGTCTGCCCGACTCGTCTTCATGCAAAAGAGATTTTTTTTTCCAAATAAGTTTTGGCGGATCCAAGCTGCATTCACTCCTTTCCCTTCCCAAGACCACATGGACAGACTCACAGACACACTCTGAAGAGAGAGTAAAGAGTTGCAGAGATTAAAGGGTGGGCGGGCTACTGGTGGGCCCAGCAAAATCCAGTCAGGGCCCTCCCAGTCGGAAACCCCCACTCCCTCTCCCTCACTCTCTGTGTCCAGCCCAAACCCCTTCGTTAGTCTGGGCTCCTTTGAGGCCATCCCTCAGCCTCACCCTGACCTTCTCTGTCCCCTTTGGGCTATTCCAATGGGAACACACCATGATCGTTGACAAAGTCCTCCTTCTGAGCATGGGGGGCCCAGAAAGGTGTGGCCAGGAGGGCTTCCCCTCCCCCCACACCTGGCTGCACACACATACCTGCTCCAGAACCTGCCCAGTAGCTTCTCCACCTGCCCACGGGACCAGCACTGACCCCCACGAGGCCAGCATTCCAGCAGCCCAAGGAGACTGCAGGGGTTGGACTGGGGGCGGAGGCAGGGAGGGGGCCCCACTCATTCCTTCTGGGGTTTCCATGAAGGAGGCAACATGTGTCTCACTGGTAAAACCTTTTTGTTTCTCCAGCTTGATTTCACAAGGAGATAACTCACCCCCACACGGCGGAAATTAGTCTTTTAAACACAATCCAGACCCACGGATAGGCAAGAAGGGCCCCGCCTGGCTGCGGCTCCTGGGGCCTGGAGTGTGGGCCAGGGAGAAGCTGGTGAGCGGCTGAAGGTACCTCCTCTCACCTCCCTGCTCCGAGAAACTGGACCCCTGGCTGGCTCTCCTCCCTGTACCAGGACTCCAGCCCAGAGGGAGGGACAAGGTGCAGATGAAGACAGAAAGAAGCTGTGGGACCCTCATTTCTTGGCCCCCGCTCCTTAACTACCCAACGAGTGTCCTGGGCAGTAGCCCTTCCCCGCCAGACCATCCATTTAGCAAACATTTTCAAACAGTCTTTCATTTGTCCCATCAACATTAGTTTGTTTAACATCTACTAAGAGACAGGCCTGGTTCTGGACACTAAGGACACAAGTGTTACAGTTCAGCAGGGGAAGTGGACAAGCAGGTAGGTGACCTGGAGTTCCAGGTGACAAAGGGAAGAAGGCACAGGCTACGGTGACACGTGCCCTGGGAAACCTGACTTAAGAATCCAGGAGAGCTTCCTGAAGGAAGCTGCCTTTGAGTGGCAATCTCAAGGGTAAGAGAAAGTCAGTTGAGCAGAGGATGGGAAGGGGACAAGCATGTTTCTAATAGAGGGAACAGCATGGTTGAGGCTCAGAGGATACGGGCTTGAAATACTGGGGTATCACCACAAAAATTCTTCAGCCAAGCCCACAGAGCCTTCCAACATCAGGGCCTAAGTGCCCCCTCTTCTTTCCCAGCAGCCCCTCTTTCAGGAAGAAGGTGCTGACCACCCGTCTGCAGCCCCAGAGGGGTCAGCTGACTCACAGCTGAACCTGAACTTTATTTGAGGCCTCGTAGACGCCCACACCAGGCATAAGAGCCCAGGATTCCAGATTCATCCTGGACTGGTTGTGAGCTCACCTCACTCCTCTGTTTTGCCTGCTCACTGCACCTGACCTGAGGTATCAGGGGGACTTCAGACCGTAGGTTGACAAAACCACTGACTGTCATTTCCAGGGACGTGTCCCCGAGTCCCTGTACAAGCTCTGATTTTCACCAGTCAGGCTTTCCACACTTTCTAGCTCTGACTCCAAAGCCCAGGGAGCTCCAGTGGCCTAGTGGATAAGGAATTTTGCTGTCAACCCAAAGGCAGATAGTTCAAATGCACCAGCATCTCTGCAGGAGAAAGATGATTAATCTCCTCCTGTGCAATTGACAGTCTCTGAAAACCACTGGAGGGTTGGCTACGGGTTGGTTCTGACTCAACGGCAGTGTGAAAGAGAAACTCCAGAGCCTTCTATTGCCTTCATTCCCTCCTCAGCGGTTTCAAACCCTTAGCTCAGTGGGTGATTTGATTCTATTCTCACTGGTGATGCAGAAGCAATGTCTAGCAATCTACTTTGGAAAGATTACAGCCATTGAAAATTGTACAAAGCCCTGTAGCTTTAATTGCATGACAAAGGGGGGAAAAATTAAAAGTTGCCATCAAGCCGATGCTGACTCATGTGACCCCAGAGGTGTTAGAGTAGAACTGTGCTCCATAGAGCTGTCAGTTGTTGGTTTTTAGAAGTAAATTGTCAAGCATTTCCTCTGAGATGCCCCTGAGTGGACTTGAACTTCCAACCTTTCCGTTAAGGGCTGAATGTATTAACCATTTGCACTAGCCAAGGACTCCACCCCTTCACAACAACTCCAATCATCATCGGAGTCCAGTCTGGCATGGGTAGCTCACTTCCTCTATAAGGCAGACAGGATCCTGGGTGGACAATGCAGTCTGTCTGAAGCCTTCCCTTCTTGGAGGGAGCCTGGCTCTGCATCCCTAGGCTGGTTTGCTCATTCATTCATCCACAAATAATCCATTGCATGCCAACTATGTGGCAGGCCCTCTACTACATACTGAGGATACAGTGGTTAGCAAAACAGGCAAGGTCCTGGACCTCGTGGGACCTACTGCGTAGTGGGGGAGACAAGACATTGTGCGGCCGGGAGTGTTGTGAGAACAAGCAGAGTCAGGGAGAGAGGAGAGACAAGGCAGGAGTGGGCTGTTTTAGGAAGGGTGGGCAGGGAAGATCTGCTGGAGGAGGTGATAATGAATAAATAGACCTGAAGGAAGGAAAAGGTCCCACTTGAGTGCTGAGGAAAGGCTTTGAGGCTACTCCCAGGATCCTCAGCAACTTCAGGAGACACAGCCAAGGCTAGCAGGAAGGGGCCCCCACCAAGTCCTTCCATCTGCACTTTTCTTAGGGCTAAATTCTGCTCAGTCCCAAGAGTGATGGCCTGTGGCTATCACTCCTCCTACAAGGGCCCCAGCATCCATGCTGCCCACATCTCTCCATGCTGGGGAGAACAGGCCATCTCAGGGAGGCCTTTTGCATAGGAGGGAGCCCTGGTGACAATCTGTAAAGAGTTGTACTGCTAATCCAAAGGCCACTGCTCTTTGGTGATTTGAAACCATGATGGGCAATCTCCTCTTGTGTGATTTACAGCCTGGAAATATAATTAAGGCTCAACTATGACTTCTCACCAATGAGTGAGCATTTTTTTTTTAGTCTTTCTTCCCAATCATGTTACAACTATGAACACTTGACATATCTCTCATTTATGTATTCTCTGTATTCCCACTATCAGAGTATCCATTTAGGTGATTATAATTCATTGTTCACACTGTTAAAAATGATTTTGTTGTGCCTGTATTCCAAGGTTTACATCTCCTTTAGCCACTTACCCTATCATCACTTCTCCTTATTTTTTTCCACATTATCTAAAAGTTACCTTTGATGATGTTTTTAAACTCCAGCTTATTAAAATAATCTGCAGCAAGATATAACTTGCATGTGATATCATTAGATAATTTAAACACTGGAGAGGAATTGAGGAGTTTTGTCCTTCTGTTCAGGAGTGGACACCACAGTCAGAGGACAAGCAGAGGCCTTTTACCAGTGCTTCGAGCCGCACACGGTCAGAAAGGGGAAAAAGAAGTGGACCCCAGAAGCAAAGAGTTGTGCCTATAGGAAGCACTGAGATTGCTCTCCTATCCAAAATCTGACAGCTATCTTTTGGATCTGCGTTTCATTGCTTATGCAAAGTCATTTGACTGTGTGGACCCTAACAAACTGTGGCTGGCTCTGAGAAGAATGGGAATCCCAGAACACTTGATCATCCTAATGTGAAACCTATACTTGGACCAAGAGGCAGTCATCAGAACAGAGCAAGGAAACACTGCATGGTTCAAAATTGGGAAGGGCTACACCAGGGATGTGTTCTATCTCCATGATGTCTTTGAGCTGTGGTGCTGGAGAAGAGTATTGAGAATACCATGGACAGCTACGAAAACAAACAGATTTGTCCTGAAAAG